ACGCCGTAGTTGATGACGTGGTGAGGGATTCGCATCGCAATTGCGCGTGCCACCCCACCTAGACCGCGCCGCCAGCACGCGGCTTGTTGTTGTGGGGCCACGCGGGCGCGCATGTACTTCACGACTGGACTCAAAGAAAGATACGTCCCCTGACGGGTCCCAGTATGGGCCCCGTGTTGTATGATCGCCTCCGTCATTACTGCTGCCACGTTGCATGTACCGTATAGCACATCAAATGACGAACAACAAAAATGCTTGAAGTAACGTCCTTTAAGGAATGACTCCATAGGAAGCCCTTGACATTGATGTTGGCAATCTTCGGAGCACCCATCGCCGTTAGGCGGCAGACTGGCTGTAGAGGCGTGTCCCCATGTTGATTCAAGAGTATGGGTTTCGCGCTTCAGCGTAACGGAAGCTGGTACCGTAACTTGTTTCCAGGCTCGTCGTACATTGGGGTAAAGTGGCGTACAGCCGGAGAGTGTACGTTTTTAGTGGTCAAGCGGATGTCGCCCATGGTGGATATAGCGTGTCCGCCAACGGCGTTCCCGCCTGCTTGCCAGAAATCACGCTCTGACGTCGCAGTGGTGTTGACGGCATACCACGCCGTGCCGTGGATAAGTATTGCGATAGACAGAGCTGGCCACAATTTAGTGAGGCCAACTTCGCTACCAAGTAAAAAACAGGATGAGGACCATGTGGTATTAGCTTGGAAGGTAGGTGAGAGATGGTGTACCATCCAGTAGACTGATCGGGTCTTGTTTTAGGTACGAGAGTAGATTGCTGCGTCCAAAGTCAATCTAAGCAAATAGGGCGCTGGCATCTTGAGCAAGACGCCGATGGCACGCTTGCTATGCTCGCTATACATATGCCCCTCTGAACCCCTATTTCAAAGTGTTTCGAGAGGCCCTGGAATCCACAACCCAAGCGACCAGGCAACCCGAAAATTCTGGAGCCCCCAACATTCCCCAAACACCTTGTTGAACGGGGTGCTGTTGTGATAGAAGCTAACTCCGACCGAAGGAATTCAAAGCAGAGACGTCCTCAAACAAATTTAGTGGTCTGGGCAGTTTCGCCTGCGACATCCTCGCAACTCTCGTTTCTGAGTTGTCCGGGATTGGGCGTTTCGCGTGAGACATCCTCCAAACTCTGAGCTCCCAAATGCCGCGCAAAAGGTGGTCCGGCCCGTTTCCACTAAGACATCCTCGAAACTCTGAGCTCCCAGATGCCGCGCGAGAGGTGGTCCGGCCCGTTTCGCCTGAGACATCCTCCAAACTCTGAGCTCCCAGATGTCGCGCAAGAGGTGGTCCGGCCCGTTTCGCCTGAGATATCCTCGAAACTCTGAGCGCCCAGATGCCGCGCAAGAGGTGGTCCGGCGCGTTTCGCCTGAGACATCCTCCAAACTCTGAGCTCCCAGATGCCGTGCAAGAGGTGGTCTAGCCCATTTCGCCTGAGACATCCTCGAAACTCTGGGCTCCGAGATGCCGCGCAAGAGGTGATCCCGTCCGTTTCGCCTGAGACATCCTCCAAACTCTAAGCCCTGATATGCCGTGCGGGTGGTGGTCCTGCGCGTTTCGCCTGAGACATCCTCGCAACTCTGCGCTCTCTGAGGCCGCGCGAGAGGTGGTCCAGCCCGTTTCGCTTGAGACATCTTCTGAACTCTCAGCCCCGAGATGCCGCGCCCAAGAGGTGGTCCGGCCCGTTTCACTTGAGACATCCTCGCACTTTTGCATTCCGAGATGCCGCGCGAGAGGTGGTCCAGCCCGTTTCGTCTGAGACGTCCTAGAAACTCTGAGCTCTGAGATGCCGCGCGCGAGGTGGTCTGCCCCGTTTCCACTGAGACATCCTCGAAACTCTGAGCTCTGAGCTGCCACGCAAGAGGTGGTCCAGCTCATTTCGCTTGAGACATCCTCGCAACTCTGACCTCGGAGATGCCGCGCGCGACGTGGTCCAGCCCGTTTCGCCTGAGACATCCTCGCAACTCTGAGCTCTGAGATGCCCTGCGCGAGGTGGTCCGGCCCGTCTCGCCTGAGACATCCTCGCAACTCTGAGCTCTGAGATGCCGTGCGCAAGGTGGTCCCGTTTCGCACAAAACATTCTCGCAACTCTGAGCTCCCAGATGCCGCGCAAAAGGTGGTCCAGCCTGAGGGCCCATAAAAGCACATGTTACATATCCCCCCTGGGACCCTGGGAGCCCCGAGGAGGCCCCAGAGAGCTTCGGGAGGCCGCAGGACGCCCAGGACAGGCCCCAGGGGTCCCCAGGAGATTCCCAGGAGGCTCCAAGGAGGCCCCAGGAGGCCCCCTATCAGAACGTGTCAAGTTAAAAAACATCCGGTGTCGATTCGATGATTTTTCCTGCTCTTGTGGCCCCCTCCCCATTTTGGGGGGCCCAGACGGCCACATGTTAGATATCCCCCCTGGGAGCCCCAAGAGGCTTCAGGAAACCCCAGGTGGGGTACAGGAGGCCACACAAGGCCCAGGAGGAAACCCCAGGAGGTCCCCAGGAGGCCCCAGGAAGCCCCAGGAGGCCCCCGCAACTCGGAGCTCTGAGACGCCGCGCTCGAGGTGGTCTGGCCCAGTTCGCCTGAGACTTCTTCGCAGCACGCTTCGCCCGAGACATCGTCGCAACTCTGGGGTCCGAGATGCCGCGCGCGAGGTGGTCCAGCTCGTTACGCTGGAGACATCCTCGCAACTCTGGGCTCCGAGATGCCGTTCGGGATGAAGAGGAGGTAGAGGAGGACGAGGAGGAGGAGGAGAAGGAGGAGGAGGAGATGGAAGGGAGAAGGAGGAGGAGGATGATGTGGATGAGGGAGCAGGCAGGAGGAGGGAGAGGAGGAGGAGGAGGGAGAAGGAAGGGAGTTGCAGGAGAGGTATAAAATCCTTGGAAACCGCAGTGGGTTTAAAAACCCTGTTTGGGGATACTGCACTCTGGCTATACTTTTTGTTCGATAGCTGCTTATATACTTGCTTGTTGAAAAGAAAACGATGTGAATAATTTCCCAAGGCCCTGAGGTCGACAACCCAGGCGACCAGGTAACCGGAAATATACGCCCCCAATATCTTCAAAATTAACAAAAAAAAAAAAAGTTAATGTGCTTGGAGCATACTGGAAACAACAACAAACACAAACATCGAAACAACTCCAGGGGGGCCTGGATTCCGCAGCGCAGGCGACCAGGAATCCCGAAAACTTCAGACGGGAATGACAATGATGAGGAGGGTGGAAGATGAGGGGAAGGAGAAGGAAGACGAAGACTGGAGGAGGAGAAGGGGAGAGCAGGAAGGAGGGGTATGCGGTTGAATACCAATATCGGCAGGCGGCGGTGGTGTGAGAGGAAGAGATGATTCCTTCAGGACTCCCCCCAGATGGTATCCCCCTATGGTCGCCCCTTCCCTTCCCTCCCTCCCTCCCTCTCCTCCTCTCCTTCCCTCCTTCTCTCCCTCCTGCTCCCTGTCCGTCCCCGAGCTCCCCCGCTTCCCGTCTCCAGCCTCATCCTCCCCCCCCCTGCAACCCCTCTTCTCCTCACGCCCGCACGGGCCGGCCACCTCCATGCCTGCATGCGGCGCGCAGCGGCGGCCCATGACAGTGGGCGGGCGGGCGGGCGGGCGGGCGGGCGGACGGGCGGAGGCGGCGGCGGCCGCGGCGTCGACGACGACGACGACGACGACGACGACGACGACGACGAAGACCGCCCCGCGCGGCGGAGCGGTCCCCTGGAGGCTGGAAGTCGCTCGACGTGCCTCGCGCCCGCGCGCTGCGCCCCGCGCGCCGCGCGGCGCGCAGACCGATGCGACGGCGGCGCGGCCGGGCGTGAATTCTCACGGGAGGCCGAGCCCAATCGCAGCAAGCCCAGACGGAGGCCGAGCACTCCGTGCGGACTTACCCCGCACGGCCTTGGCAACCTCCGAGGATTCGGAAGCGGAGGCGGGGCGGCGCGGCTGCGGGCGCGACGGCCCCGCCTGGAGGCCCGACAAAACGGAATCCTCATCCTTCTGCTCCCTCCTCCCCTTTCCTGGCCGTATGTGCTGCATAATCCTCCTCCTCTCCCTTCCTCCTCCTCCTCCTCCTCCTCCTCCTCCTCCTCCTCCTCCTCCTGCTACTGTTCCTCTTCATCGTCGTCCTCCTCGTCCTGTAATTCCTCCTCCTCCTCCACTTCCTCTTCCTTCTCCTCCTCCTCCTTCCTCCACTTCCTCCAAACCTCCTTCTCCACCGCCAACAACAACAGCAACTGCAATATCCCTCTCCGCATCTTCGCCCTCCACCATCCGCCATCTTCCATCCTCGTTTCCCTTATCACCAATCCTCCATCCTCGACCTTCCTGCTGCTCCCCTCAAACACCTCCCTTCCGCGGGCCTGTCAGGATGACAAAGGGGCAGTACGGGCTGTCCTTCAAATCGGTGAAAGGCCTGCGGAGGGGGGGGGGACGGGAGAAGGGGGCAGCGAGGGGGGGAGGCCAAGTGAAGGGAAACAAAGGGGGTACGGGGGAAGAACGATGGGATCAAACGAAAAAGAGGTGAAATGGGAGAGGGAAGGGGGGAAACTTGAAAGCGAACGAGTGAGCGCCAGAGCCAGACCCGTACGCGCCCCATCAGAAGGCACGTCCGTGCCCGTCAGGGCATGGCGTGGGAGGCCCATTTGTGTAGGAGGGGGGGTCTCCCCGACGACCTTGCGGAACTCTATCCTGGGAGGACAGGACCCTCGATCGGCGCGCGCGTGCAGGGATGGATACGTCGGACGGTTGGCTGCCGCAGCGGCGAAGACCGCCTCGGGATGCACCACGGGAGGAGCCACGCGGAGCTGAGGGCGCGCTTTGCACAGGTCTGTCATCGCACCAGCCTTGAAGCACATCGGGCCTGCCCTGGAAATTGAAGGCGCGGCGGAACTGCAGGGGAGGGGCGGGGGAAGGACGAGGCTCGTGGCGGGCGGCAAAGCGGCGGCAGCATGGCGGGAGGCGCTGCCTGTCCTTGCCGTCGCAGAAATAGTTCGTCTGGGGAGGAGGGGCTGGGGGGGAAGGACGAAGGGAACGACGGGGAAAACGAGGAGGAAGAACTGGGCGGAGGGAAGGTACTAGAAATGAGGATGCAACAGAGGACACGACGCTTTCCGCAAAGGAAATACAGCGCATGAAATCTAAGGCGGAATGTCTACGGTGTGTCTAAAGCGGTTTTAAGGCGGGCACGGTCCACTGATCAGGCCTTGAACCAAGACAGCGCAGAGGGCCAACAAAGGTGGGGAACAAGGCACTGGACAAGGAGCTACCGTTCGTGCCTGGTGCCCCAACATGTACGTCGGGCCTTCGAAGACTTTAGCACAGCATCCTGATTTTACTAACCACCTCTTCATAAAACAAGTGCCTGGCTGCAACGGGACAGGTTCACCTGAGTTCGACGCGGCCCTGGGTCGACGGCCTTCACTCCATCCCAGAAAGAACATTGGCCCCCCCGCGGCGCCAACCGTAAAAGCATTTTACGGCGCCTGTGGCAGGGATGGATGCACTCCCGTCAGAGTCCGTAGGACTGACCGAAACACGCGAATCGATCCCCCCACCTGGAAGGATGTGAGATCATTAGAAAAGCGATTGCTGGAGATCCGCGAGCTACCCGGACACAGTCCGGGCGAGCCAGAGTGCTCCACTTATCGATCTCGCCCGCTGAAAACGCATACCTGCTTTCCGCCTCCGTGAGATCTCGTGACGCAGTCGCAAGAATCACCTCCTTACTCCTGCATGAGTGAGCTATGATGTAACTCGGGGCGACCTCCTCCGGCTTCTCGTCGCTGAACTTGGCCGTCCATCACACTGAGTGAGGACTAACTCACGGCCCATGCTGCCCTCGGTCATGGATTCGGCCCGCGCGCCCCGAATGTCGCACCAAAGCAAATAAACCATCTTGTCGGTGCGCTGCCAGTCGGCTAACCACCGCGAGTGGCCAGCCACGCTGCTCTCGGACGGCGGCCGGACCGGGCCCGCGAGCCGGGCGCTGACTACAGACGCGCCGTCGATAACGAGGCCTGCAGGGACCTCGCAACACCCTTCCCAACTTAGCCCCCTGATCTCCTCGGCACAGGCGGGGCGGGACCGCGCGCCATCTCGCGCGACGTGAGGAGGAGGCGCGCCGGCAGACCGTCTGCTGCGCCGCATGCTGCGAGCAGCTCGGAGCCGAATGAGGATCTGCACCAAGGCCTGCGCGATCGGCTCGCAGCGCCCATGCGGCGGCGCACCCGTTTGCCCTCGCGGCGGCACTTGCCGAGACGCGCGTGCACGGCCCCACATGATGCTGCATCCTGACTTCTCCTCCCTCTTGAAGGGCCCGTCGCCGCGCGCGCTGAGTCGCCCGGCGCGCCCCGCCGATGGAAATGCAACGCGGGCCTTGATCTCCTGCGTGGCCAGAGCGACGGAATTGAGCTACATCGAGCGTCGGATGAGCAGCTTGTTCTCGGCTCTCTGCAGGGCGGCAATGCACCCTGCGACGCAGTGCTGGGCGAGCAGGGCGTAGACCGCTGCCCCCAGGAGGGAAACAAAAAGGTCTGGAAGCTGACCTCCGACCGGCTTGTCAGAATGGCCTTGGCCAGGTCGACGTGTCTGATCGGTTCCAGAGCGTCGATGCACTCGCCCTGGTCGAGCGCCACGGCGCCATCGGAACTGCGGCGCCAGTGCACTCCGCACTTGGTGAAGCCTTCGAAATTGCCCTTCATCTCGCCGAAGACGCTCTTGATGCGGCTGTTGAGCCAGCCGGTCGACGTGCCCCTTTTGCCCGGCAATCTTCAGGTCGCCAACGCGCTTGGGCAACATGAGCACTAGCTTCGAGGCACCTGCAGCACAGCTGCCGGACGTCGCGCGCTTGAACTCAAGCTCGGGGCCCCGCCTGGCGGCTTCGATGCCGCGCCCAGGCCAGCGAGTGGCCCGGGCGAGCTTACTGGAGAAGGCTCTGGGCGCGTCCTTGTAGCTGGCATGCGCCTCGACGCAGCGCAGGCAGTCGGCTCGATCGTCGAAAGTCTCGTGGCCGGGCGCCTACCCGAGCGCGGCTGGGCTGCCGGGTGGCAGGGCGAAGTTCACCTCTTCGGGTGCTTCGCCTTGCTCCTGCATTTCTGCATAGGTAATGTCTTGCAAGAGTGCCTTCTTTACGTCAACGGCGACGCGCCAACAGACGGGGCGACGCGCCGCCGCAGAGGGCGGCAAGCGTCGGGGAACCCGCTTCGCTGCCCCAGCGAACGTTCTCAGGGCCATGCGGCGCGGAAGCCCCATCGGCGCCATGCGGCGCGGGGTGATCCTGACTGTCTTGCCGCGCTTCCACTTGGAGGCGCGTCTGGAGCCCATGGCGTTTCGAGCGCCTTTGAGCGACCGCCTCTCGAAACACTTGAATTTGACCCAGATGGTGAGCTCCTGGAGGGTGGCTGCCGCGACCTCCTTCGACGGCCTCGACACTGCCTCATTCGAAAGAGGGTCGGCCTCGCGCATGATGACCGCGTTCTGAAGCGCGCCATACATGTTAGGGACAGGTGTCAGAGAAGCGCCGGCGACAGAGGCGCCGGACGCAGCCGTCTGGGGAGCGCCGGCGACGCAGTCGCCAGCTTCGCGCACCCCTGGGCCCAGGTGCGACTCCACGTCTACCTCCGTCGTCATCGTCGTCTTCCCTCCTCCTATTCCTCCTCCTCCCCCTCCACCTCCTCCTCCTCCTCCTCCCCCCGCCCCTCCTCATCCCCGTCTGACATGGCGTCATCGTCCAAGGGGGCCCCGCGCAGGTAGTAGTGGAGCTGCGCGTGGATGCCCCGACGCTGCCGATGCGTCTCGAGGCGCTGGGGCCACCCGCGCGACCTGCGGCCCAGGTCGGCCGCGGCGTGCTCGACAGCAGCGGAGATCTCACGCTGGCTGTCGGCGCTCTCCAGCTCCTCCAGCACCTGGGCCAGATCTTCTGCCCCATCGAGTTCATGCCAAGATGCCGCATCGCCTGTTGGGTGCGGCCGGAGAAGTCGCTGCCAGTCTCCTCTGGCACAGCCGACAGGGCTGATGGTGATCCACCATTGGATACGATGGCGGTGTCCTCGGGTACGTCGATGACGCCAGTCATCGAACGTTCCGTCCTGGTCCTGTCAGGCGTCTGTTACACGTGACGGCTCATCATCCAAGAGCAACTGGCGAGCTCCCTTCCAATGCTCGACGATGAGCTGGCGGGCGTCGATCGCGACGCCGTCGAGGTGGATCCTGGACGTCGGCAGGTTTCTGCGGGGACAACTTGATGGCCAGGTTGCGGGCGCACCCCGACCAATTGCCGACAAGTTTGTCGGAAAATGAGTCGCGCAGCGCAAACGTCCGGTAGCTGAAGGCATCCGCGGGAAAGATGGCACGAGGCCACGAGGACGTCTGCGCGATGTCGCGCCTGCCCAGTGAACTGCGCGCCGTCAGCGCCCCCCCAGTGGCCGAAGGTCCGGGCCCCGACCTGGCGCCACCATTCCCAGGCAATCCTCGACGCGGTCACAGGCCAAGCCTGCTCGCGCCGTGCCAGTGCCCATTTCGTCGAAGACGGCACCGATGAAAGCCTGGACGTCTCGCAGTATGCAGGCGATCTCGGCTCGGAGGTACTTGGGTGCCACCATACCTCGAGCCGGATTTACAGACATGACTGTCTCAGGGCCCGCCCAGCCTGACATATCCTTGGTGCTTGGCGGCCCGTGGAACTCCACCTGGAAGCGGCCCTCCCCGGACTCGGTGGAGCGGGTCGCGAGGGCGCCGCTGACGCGTGCGATCGACGTGGCACCGACCACGCGTTGCAAGGCTATCTCTCGGATGTGCCACTGCAGTCGGCTGGGCTGCACCTCCCCGCCAGCGGGAGGCTCGGTGCCCGTGACGCAGTCGCCCGATGTCTCACCCTATTCGTCTGCTTCGAGTGGTGGCGGCATGGGCGGCTGCCGCGCGAAAACCACGCTTCGCGGCGTGACGCCGCCCACGTGGGTGAGGTCATTACCAACAAAGATGGCATGTGCCAGCGTGAAATCAAAGATCGCCGCGATGCCTTCGCGCTCCAGCTGCTCCTCCGCGGCGCGAAGTGCCTGTCGCAGCAAGGCCCCGCGCCGCTCGACGAAGCGAGCTCGTTGGCGCGGAGCACGCGTTTCAACATGTACTCCTCTCCTAATATTTTGCTCGACGTGCGTTGAAGTCACCCCGCCCTCGCCGTCCACGATCAAAGTCTACATCGCGCCGAAGGTCCATGAGCGATCGATGGCGGCAAGTCGCGTCGAGTCGTGCTCGAACGCAACCTCCTGGCCATTGCGCCACCATGAGGCGCAACATCTCAGGTGGAGGATCATGCGATCCTTGTAGAACAGGATGTCGCACTCGACGCGCTGGTTGAATCGCGTTGACACGGAGTGTAGGGATGTCATGGCGCGCTGGCGGTAGCCACTTGCGGCACTCCCTACAATTGTTGACCACCGTGGGGATGAAATTGCGGATGTCCTGTGGCATATTGGCTGCTCGTGGTGTCGCGCCATTTCCTCCTTGGTGGCATGCCGCCACTGGAGGTGTAGCTCGCGTAACTTCCGCGCGCGCGTTTCATGCGAGTCTCTGCGGGGTGCTCGTAAGGAGGTAATGACGTCGGAACGAGTCCAGTCTGAGGGCGTCGGGGCGCCTGCAGCTGCGTCGGCAACTGGCGGTGCTGCTCGACGAGCTGGCCCCTGGCCCTCCTGCGGGCGCGCGCGGTGAAGCAGCCTCGTCTGCCGCTCCAAGGTCTGGGCCGCGGGGTAGCTGAGCTTGCTGATCTCCGCAACGGCGCGATCCCCCCAGTCGCGGCGGCGCTCGCTGGCGCTGCCTTACGCGCGGGCGCGGCTGGACGCAGGATCCCCGCACCGGTAGTTCCAAAACTTGTGCGCGTGCGTCGGGCGATCGCGTTCATTCTCCTTCTGGCCGCTGGGGCGCCCCCATTGGATCGGCGCGCTACGAGCGTAGCGGCGTGCCGCTGGATCCCTGGCGCGCGCCGCATGGGCGAGTCCGCCCGTGCGTTGCGCCT